AAAAAAAAGAAAGAAAAAAGTCTTTGTCCTAGCTGGGCAGTGGTGGCGCACGCCTTTAATCCCAGCACTCCTGAGGCAGAGGCAGGTGGATCTCTGTGAGTTCAAGACCAGCCTGGTCTAAAAGCTGGCTCTAAAGCTGCAAGAGAAACCCTGTTTCGAAAAAACAAACAAAAAAAATAGTCTTCGTCTAACAAGACCAGTAAATCTTCACAAGTAGTAACTTTGAGCTGAGAAATGAGAAGCCTGCTCTAACCCTGCCAAGACTACAGTACAAGTTGGCCGGAAATAGGTCATGCTGGCAGAAGCCAACTGTGGGGGACAACTTCCAGGACAGTGTCACCTTACTTTGCGTGTAGTGCCTCACATTACTAGAATGAGTCCAGACTAGGTGTTGCTGTTGGAAGAATTATTTATGGATGAGTGCTGTCTTCCTCCATGTCTGCATGACAGAAGACATCAGATCCCATTAAAGACAGTCCTGAGCCACCACATGACTCAGGTCCTCTGAAAGAACCACCAGTGCTCTGAAACACGGAGCCATCTCTCTAGCCCCTGGTTGATTTTTCTTTTAATGGGAAGGTGTATATGTCTGCTTGTTTGTATGTGCACCCATGTGTGCAGTGCCTTCAGAAGCCAGAATTTAGCATCAGTTCCCCTGGAACTGGACATACAGGCAGTAGCAAGATGTCTGATATGAGCTGGGCAGTGGTGGCGCATGCCTTTAATCCCAGCACTCAGGAGGCAGAGTCAGGTGGATCTCTGTGAGTTCGAGGCCAGCCTGGTCTACAAGAGCTAGTTCCAGGACAGGCTCCAAAGGTACAGAGAAACCCAGTCTCAAAAAAAAAAAAAAAAAAAAAAAAAAGCAACCTAAAGATGCCTAATGAGGATGCTGAGCCCTTTCTCCAGACTTCTATTTATTTTATTTTATTTGAGACAGTGACTCATGAAACTCTGGCTTACCTGGAACTCACAGAGATCCACTTGCTTCTACTTTCAGAGCGCTGGGATTAAACACATGTACACCATACCTGGCATGATTTTTTTTTAATGTTGTGATTTTTTTAAAGATTTATTTATTTATTTATTTTGTATACAGTGCTCTGTCTGTCTGTGTGCTTGCTCGCCAGAAGAGGGCACCAGATCTCATTACAGATGGCTGTGAGCCACCATGTGGTTGCTGGAAATTTAACGTAGGCCCTCTGGAAGAGCAGCAGTCAGTGCTCTTAACCTCTGAGCCATCTCTCTAGCCCTATGCTGTGATTTTTTAAAAAACAACAACAACAACAACAACAAAAAAACCACAACTCTAATACATAACAGGGCTGGTGGGATTGCTCTATGGTGAAGAACACTTTTGCACCTTATTCCATGTAACAGCATACCAAGCTCAGTAATATAAAGTTATGTAACAGTTGTACAATTATTGCTTTTGAGACAGGTCTTGCTGTACAGCCTAAGAATAACAATCCTCCCATCTCAGGTATGTCCTGGGCTTGCAGGTGAGCACAATTATACTAAGCTTTGGGACTGGTTTTTAATTAATTAATCCATTTATTTATTTATTTTTGTTTTCTTGAGATAGGGTTTCTCTATGTAATAGTCCTGGCAAGTCCTGGCTGTCTTGGAACTTGCTTTGTAGACCAGGTTGGTCTCAAACTTACAAGAGATCTGCCTGCCTCTGCCTTCCAAGTGTTGGAACTAAAGGTGTGCACCACCACCACCCAGCTGGGACTGGTTTGGTTTTTTTCTTTTTTTTTTTAAATTGATTTTAATTAAGCTCTACATTTTTCTCTGCTCTGCTCCCTGCCTCTTCTCTCCCCTCTTCAACCCTCCCCCCTCCCCCAAGGTCCCCTTGCTCCCAATTTACTCAGGAGATCTTGTCTTTTTCTACTTTCTACTTCCCATGGAGATTAGATCTATGAAAGTCTCTGTTAGTATCCGCATTGTTGTCTAAGTTCTCTGGGATTGTGGTTTGTAGGCTGGTTTTCTTTGTTTTATGTTAAAAAACACCTATGAGTGAGTACATGTGATAATTGTCTTTCTTTTTTTTAATATCTATTTATTTATTATGTATACAATATTCTGTCTGCGTGTATGCCTACAGGCCAGAAGAGGGCACCAGATCTCATTGCAGATGGTTGTGAGCCATCATGTGGTTGCTGGGAATTGAACTCAGGACCTTTGGAAGAGCAGGCAATGCTCTTAACCACTGAGCCATCTCTCCAGCCCTTTATTGATATTTATTGAGCTCTACATTTTTCTCTGCTCCCCTCCCTGCCTCTCTTCTCTCCCTTCAACCCTCCCCCAAGGTCCCCATGCTCCCAATTTACTCAGGAGATCTTGTCTTTTTCTACTTTCTACTTCCCATGTAGATTAGATCTATGTAAGTCTCTCTTAGTGTCCTCATTGTTGTCTAAGTTCTCTGGGATTGTGGTTTGTAGGCTGGTTTTCTTTGCTTTATGTTTAAAAACCACCTATGAGTGAGTACATGTGATAATTGTCTTTCTGGGTCTGGGTTACCTCACTCAAAATGATGTTTTCTAGCTCCATCCATTTGCCTGCAAAATTCAAGATGTTGTTATTTTTTCTGCTGTGTAGTACTCCATTGTGTAAATGTACCACATTTTCCTTATCCATTCTTCAGTCGAGGGGCATTTAGGCTGTTTCCACGTTCTGGCTATGACAAACAAAGCTGCTATGAACATAGCTGAGCACATGTCCTTGTGGCACGATTGAGCATCCTTTGGATATATACCCAAAAGTGGTATTACTGGGTCTTGAGGAAGGTTGTTTTCTAATTTTCTGAGAAATTGCCACACTGACATCCAAAGGGGTTGTACCAGCTTGCACTCCCACCAGCAATGCAGAAGTGTTCCCTTTTCCCCACAACCTCTCCAGCATAAGTTGTCATCAGTGTTTTTGATCTTGGCCATTCTTTCAGGTGGAAGATGGAATCTCAGAGTTGTTTTGATTTGCATTTCTCTGATGACTAAGGATGTTGAACATTTCCTTAAGTGTCTTTCAGCCATTTTAGATTCCTCTGTTTAGGTCTGTACTCCATTTTTTTTATTGGATTTTGTATTCTTTTGGTATCCAATTTCTTGAGTTCTTTGTATATTTTGGAGATCAGACTTCTGTCTGATGTGGGATTAGTGAAGATCTTTTCCCATACTGTAGGCTGTTGTTTTGTCTTGTTGACCATGTCCTTTGCTTTATAGAAGCTTTTCAGTTTCAGGAGGTCCTGTTTATTAATTGTTTTTCTCAGTGTCTGTGCTGCTGAGGTTATATTTAGGAAGTGGTTCCCTGTGCCAATACGTTCAAGTGTACTTCCCACTTTCTCTTCTCTAAGGTTCAGTGTGGCTGGGTTTATGTTGAGGTCTTTGATCCATTTGGATTTGAGTTTTGTGCATGGTGATAGATATGGGTCTATTTTCATTCTTCTACATGTTGATATCCAGTTATGCCAGCACCACTTGTTAAATATGCTTTCTTTTTTTCATTTGATATTTTTTTTGCTTCTTTGTCAAAAATCAGGTGTTTGAAGATGTGTGGATTGATATCTAGGTCTTCTATTCAGTTCCATTGTTCCTCCTGTCTGTTCTTATGCCAATACCAGGCTGTTTTGTAGCTCTGTAGTAGAGTTTGAAGTCAGGGATTGTGATGCCTCCAGAAGTTCTTTTTTTTTAATATTTATTTATTATGTATACAATATTCTGTCTGTGTGTATGTCTGCAGGCCAGAAGAGGGCACCAGACCTCATTACAGATGGTTGTGAGCCACCATGTGGTTGCCGGGAATTGAATTCAGGACCTTTGGAAGAGCAGGCAATGCTCTTAACCACTGAGCCATCTCTCCAGCCCTTCAGAAGTTCTTGTATTGTACAGTGGGACTGGTTTTTGTAAGGATCTTTCTGGCAGCTCTGTCGAAACAGTGAAAAAGAGACAGGTACTAGGAAGAATGGAAGCCTGGAGGCCACGGGGAGCTTGCCCATTGCATAGAGGCATAGACTGTTGACTGATGGTCCTCTTGTTCATTTCCTGTTCACCAGCTCTGTTGAGAATGTGGAGTGCTGGGCTGGAGAGATGGCTCAGCGGTTAAGAGCATTGTCTTCTCTTCCAAAGGTCCTGAGTTCAATTCCCAGCAACCACATGGTAGCTCACAACCATCTGTAAGGAGGTCTGGTGCCCTCTTCTGGCCTGCAGGCATACACACAGACCGAATATTGTATACATAATAAATTAATAAATAAATATTAAAAAAAAGAATGTGGAGTGTTAACTTTGCTATTCACCAGTTAAAGGACTTGGGCAAGATATCATATCTCAACTTTTTTGTGTTTTTTTATGTTTTTGTTTTTTATTGTGAGATCCACAGGATTCAAAGAGACATAGCCAGGAAGCTCATTCTCAGGGCAGCTGGTCCTGATGTTCAGCGAGGACATCCAAGCTCCAATAGCCTGGAGTTCACTGCAGAGCCTGGGAAGGAGGCCCTAGACTCAGTGGTTCTCAACCTTCCTAATGCCGCCACCCTTTAATACTGTTCACGTTTTAAGTGACCCCCTAACCATAATTATTTTTATTGCTACTTGATAATTGTACTTTTACTAGTGTTATAAATCAAATGTAAATATTTTTGAAGAAAGGTTTGGCGAAGGGGTTGCGACTCACAAGTCGAGAACTGCTGTCCTACAGGGTTCCCACAGGAAGCCCTTGGTGCTAGCTGCACATTGGGCATTCAGAGTTTGAGCTTCTAACAAGGAGTGCGACAATACCCTAAAGTTCGACCCGGAATTTCTGCCTTAGAATGCACTTGGTGCCCAGACTATGCAGTGCCACAGCAGGTCTGGGGTTGTGAAGGGCTGGAAGTGTCAGTTTCCATGCGCGACGCCTGCCTCCCCAGGGCGGGCAACTAACAGGAGGTGGGAGTCAGCGTCCCAGGAGCTCCTAGTGGCTAACGGGGAAGGGCGGAGCCCGAGCGCCCGCCCGGAAGCGCGCCGGCGGGAAGCCGGCGTGGAGCGCGCCTATACTGGCGCGGGGATCGTCGCTGCAGGTACTTGGTGGTGGGAAGTTTGCTGCAGAGGCGGGACCAAAGCGACTCCACGCCAACGGAGCCCCTCTATACATTTCCCATAAGACGGAGGTGTGAATTGGGTTTTGTGGCGCGAGAGCTTCTCCAAGGGGCCGTGATGTGAGATTCAAGCCCTGGAAACCCAAAGTTTTCTTGGCTCCCTTTTGCACTGTTTGCTGACCCTTTCTTGCACAGCGACGCCTGTAGTGGAAGAGGGTCCTGGGTCCTCCCCAAACTGATGAGTGTGAAGGTTAGGGGTGGGCCCTTATTACAAGAGTCCTGTAGGTGGGGTCTGGGTCACGTGGCCAGATTACCCTTGTCCTTGATCTAGCAGAGTCCCCCTGACTCTGTTCACAAAGTCTCCCTCCCGGGTGGCCCTTGGGACAGGAGGATCTAGTTCTCATTAACAGCACAGAGGTAGGTCCTTGGGCTGCAGTGACCACTCTGTACCCCTCAGGCCCTGAATTCTTGAACCAGTGGTTTCAAGAGCTCTCTCTTCCAGACTGAGTTATTGTTACTCTAATCAGGAGGAGGAACTGGTCCCCTAAAGCTCACTCCTCCCCCTGCTTCTGCAGCTTTCCTTAGCCTTGCCTGAGCAGGCTTGCTTGGCAAGCTGGGACATGTCTGGTCCCCGAGGACCTTCCATGGGTGATGGCTGCAGTGTTGGAGGGGCTGGAGCCGGAGGAAACTGCAGCTGCTGCAGAGGATGCTGCAAGATTCGCTGTGGAGGCTGTGGAATCCAGGCCCGGGGCACCTTTTCTCCTGGTTGGGAACCAGCTGAACTTAGACGTGCACCCGGGGGGCTGCCATCGGCTGCAGTACCTGTGTTCCCAGCAGCCCCCAGAGCTGCTGCAGGTGGAGTTCTTGCGACTCAGTACCCACGAGGACCCTCGACTGCTAGATGACACCCTAGCCCAGGTTCCGTGGAGTCTGTTGCGCCTTCGCTCCCTGGTCCTCAAAGGTGAGTACCCTTATTCTGACCCTGTCCTGCTTTGCCTCTGCTTCTTGGTCCACAAAGGCCATCTTGTCCCAACCCTAGCTCCAGATCTCTCTTCTCCCTGCACCTAGGTGTGAACACCTACCCCACGCTTGCTTTCCCTGTCCTCAGCCCTATCACCTTCCTCCCCACAGTGAGGCTGGCTGGGCTCTGTCTTTCCAGCGAGGACGCTGAGGGTGCCCAGTTGGGTCTCTGCAGATGCCAGTTGTTGTCCGGTGATGCTGTCATCTGATAGGCACTGGTGGTCTTCCCTGTCTGCTTTTCTGTCTTTCTCTATCCCAATAGCCGGCTTCACAGGGAAGCTTCTTCCTCCCTACTACTTCCTCTGGCAGTCAGGGCTGAACCAAGATTCCAACTCTGAGGGCCACAGCTCTCTCCTCCACTTCCAGGCGGCCAGAGCCGGGGCGCCCTGGGTGCCTGCCTCCATGGTACCCTGACCACTCTGCCTGCTGGCCTGAGTGACTTGGCCTGCTGCTTGGCCCACCTGGACCTGAGCTTCAACAGACTGGAGACGCTGCCGCCCTGCATCCTGGAGCTGCGCAGCTTGGATGCGCTGCTGCTTTCTCACAACCGTCTCTCGGAGCTGCCCGAGGTCCTGGGGGCCCTGCCTGCCCTCACCTTCCTCTCTGTGAGGCACAACTGCCTAGAAAAGCTACCCGCAACCCTGGGGTCCCTGTCCGCTCTTCAGCGTCTTGATCTCTCTGAGAATCTTCTAGACACCATACCCTCTGAGATTGGAAACCTGAGCAACCTCAGTGAGCTCAATCTGGCCTCCAACCGACTGCAGAATCTCCCAGCCTCCCTTGGTGAGTAACCATGGCACCAGCTTCCTTTCACCAGCTAATACAGTGTGCTCCTCCCCCACAGCCAGTGTCCATACCTCCACTGCCCTGTGGGCCCTTGCAACCCTAAAGTCTTGGGACTGCCTTGGCACGTGAACCCTCACTGCTCCCAGGTGGCCCCTTGACTTTGCTTCTGCCTCCTTGGCTGCTCGTAGTTCATATCCATCTTTGTCCCACCACACGATAGAGCCTGAAGCCTTCAGTGTGAGTATCTTGTCAAGGTTCCCAGAGCCAACCCTAAACCAGCACTTGCCTACAGCGGGGCTACGGTCCCTGCGGCTCCTTGTTCTGCACAGCAACCTCCTGACCTCAGTGCCCACTGGCCTGGCCCACCTGCCACTGATCACTCGGCTTGACTTAAGGGACAACCAGCTCCGGGACCTGCCTGCTGAGCTCCTAGACGCCCCCTTTGTGCGCGTGCAGGGGAACCCTCTGGGTGAGGCCTCTCCAGCACCCCCAAGTCCCCCAGGTAGGCTTGGCATGGGCATGGTCAGGCTATAATGGGACAAAGGCATGTCATCATTGTAACCACATGCCTGCCCCTTGTGCAGACATATCCCAGATTCCGGAAATGCCCAGGCTCTTCCTAACCTCGGATTTGGACAGGTATCAGTGGGAAGGTGGCTTGAGACATCTGTCTACCCTGTCTCCCTGGGCACATGGGGCACCTTGTCTGTCTGCCCTCATATCTCTTTCCTCACTCAGCTTCCTTGTGACTCCCCATGGCTGTTCTGTGACCCTGGCCTGTGGTGTCCGCCTACAGTTCCCAGCAGGAGCCACCACTACGCCCATCACCATCCACTATCGACTGTGGCTGCCGGAGCCTCACCTGGTCTCCCTGGGACCTCACGACTTCTTGCTAAGTGGTGTTCTGGAGTTGCAGCCCCATGGGGTGGCTTTCCAGCAGGTGTGTCAAGGATGGGTCGGGGGCAGGTGTAGGCTGGCCTTCTCTCACACACCACCATTGCCTGACAGGATGTGAGCTTATGGCTGCTGTTCGTCCCCCCACGAGTCCAACGCTGCCGTGAGGTAGTTGTAAGGACGCGGAGTGACGACAGCTGGACTGACCTAGAGACCCACCTGGAGGAAGAGGCACCCAAGGTGACAGCTGCCTAGGCCCTTGGGAGTGAGGGGACAGGAGCAGCCTGCCCCGACACCACCCACCCTTGCCCATTGTCTCTGCCCTGACCCTTTCCTCCCATGTGTTCCAGAGGCTCTGGGCTCGATGCCAGGTGCCCCACTTCTCCTGGTTTCTTGTCGTTTTACGACCAGTATCCAACACTTGCCTGTTGCCACCAGAGGGAGCACTTTTGTGCTCCTCAGGTCATCCTGGGGTCAAAGTCACCTTTCCTTCTGGGGCCACAGAAGAGCCTCGCCAAGTCTCCATGCAGGTATAGTGGCCAGGCCAGTGCCAAGGGTGGCAGGGGGTGCCTCAGCATACAGGAAGACTCATGGTTCTCTGTCCAGGTAGTGCATATGGCTGGTCTAGAGCTGAGAGCTCTCCTGGAAGAGTCAGAGGCATCAGTGAGCCCCTTGCTGTGCCTCTCACAGAGCGGGCCCCCCAGCTTCCTCCAGCCAGTCACTGTGCAGTTGCCCTTGCCCCCTGGTGTTACAGGTGAGGCTTGCTTGCTTCAGGACCAGAGCTGGGTACTTAGAAGTGGGAGCTACATTTAGAGAGGGCTTCAGCCGTTTGCTATTTCCTGTCCAGGGTTCAGTCTGGACCGCTCCCACCTACATCTGCTCTACCGAACACCCTCGACAGCCACCTGGGATGACATCACCACTCAGGTGGTGCTGGAACTCACCCACCTGTACGCACGCTTCCAGGTCACACACTTCTCCTGGTCAGTGTCCCCTAGCTTCCTCAGCACCCCTTCTGCCCTTCATGGGTATGCCCATACCTCAACTCCGGCACTTCCAGGTTCTGGCTCTGGTATACCACCAAAACCTGTGTAGGGGGCCTAGCACGGAAGGCCTGGGAACGGCTGCGGCTGCACCGCGTGAACCTCATTGCACTGCAGAGGCGTCGGGACCCTGAGCAGGTCCTGCTGCAGTGCCTACCCCGCAACAAGGTGGGGCAGCAGGAAGACAGTGGGGGGAGGGGTGTGTGACCTGAAGGCTAGGGTGGCTACGGAGTTTTGACCTCTAATTCCTGTGGGTGCTCCACAGGTCGATGCCACCCTGTGTCGGCTGATGGATCGATACCGTGGCCCTGAACCCTCTGACACCGTGGAGATGTTTGAGGGTGAGAAGTTCTTTGCAGCCTTTGAGCGGGGCATTGATGTAGATGCTGGTAGGTCTCTTCTCCAGGGGGCACAGGGGTGTGATCCCTTGACCCCTCCTACTGAATCCGCCCCCCTCCACAGACCGTCCAGACTGCGTGGATGGCAGAATCTGCTTTGTTTTCTATTCACACCTGAAGAATGTGAAGGAGGTATACATCACCACAGCCTTGGACCGGGAAGCTCAGGCTGTCCGAGGCCAGGTGGGCTGATATGTCAGGACCCCCAAGTACCTGGACTGAGGCTACAGTTCTGAACCCCATCTGTAGACAGAGTTTTCCTATCATGCAGCCACTCCCAAATAATCAGAGGCTTAGTATAAATTACAAATGCCCGGCCAAAGCTCAGACTTATTACTAACTAGCTCTTACATTTTTTAAAAAATATTTATTATGTATACAATAGTCTGTTTGTGTGTATGCCTGCAGGCCAGAAGAGGGCACCAGACCTCATTACAGATGGTTTTGAGCCACCGTGTGGTTGCCGGGAATTGAACTCAAGACCTTTGGAAGAGCAGGCAATGCTCTTAACCTCTGAGCCATCTCTCCAGCCCCCTAGTTCTTACATTTTAAGCTAACCCATATTCCTTATTTATGCTCTGCCATATGGTAGTATCTGTATTAGCATGGCACATTCATCTCCTGTTCCCTCTGCTTCTGATTGACAACCCCCAGTTCTGCCCTTCTTCCCAGCATTCTCCTAGTCTGGTTCCCCTGCCCAGTCTCTTTCTTTCCAGCTATTGGCCAGTCAGCTTCTTTATTAAACCAATCACAGCAACATATATTCATACAGCGTAAAGGGATATTCCTCAGCACCCACCTGATCCTTTCCCAGGTGTCCTTTTATCGGGGTTCACTTCCCGTGGAGGTGCCTCAGGAAGCTGAGGCTGCCCGGCAGAGGAAGGGCACAGATGCACTGTGGATGGCCACCTTGCCCATCAAGCTGCCGGTGAGACTGGAAAGGCGTGAGCTGACAGGAGGAAACAGAGTTCTTGGGTGAGCAAAGACAAGAGGATGGGTTCAAGCTTACTGTATCCTTGCCTCCTGACAGAGACTCCGGGGGCCCCAGGGAAGTGGGCAGGGGACAGACTTCTCCCTGATGCCTCTGAACCTGGGTGATGCAGAAACTGGTTTCCTGACTCAGAGCAACCTGTTGAGTGTGGCCTCACGCCTAGGTCCTGACTGGCCAACCGTGGCCCTGCACCTAGGTATGCCCTACCGTGAGCTACAGCGTATCCGGCATGAGTTCAGGTGAGCTTCTGACTCCCATCAGCTTCACAACACACACACACACACACACACACACACACACACACACACACACAGTAGCTGAAAGCTTTCAAAGATGGAGGTGGAGCAAACACCAGCCTGGATACGGAGGGTCTAGTCATCAGCCCATGGAGCAAGAAACTCCTTTTTGAAACATTGAGCCTTTGTATGTGGTGTGTGGTCCTGGGCAGAATACCTTCATCACTGCTCTTCTCCCCCCCAGGGACGACCTGGATGGGCAGATCCGCCACATGCTCTTCTCCTGGGCTGAGCGCCAGGCTGGACAGCCTGGGGCTGTGGGACACTTGGTGCAGGCCCTGGAGCAGAGTGACCGGCAGGATGTGGCTGAAGAGGTGCGTGCCATCTTGGAGCTCGGCCGTCACAAGTATCAGGACAGCATCAGGCGCACAGGACTGGCCCCTGAGGACTCGCCTCTGCCTGGCACCTCAGCTTCACAGACCCCAAAGTCTGCCCAGGCCTAGGCTCAGACTTAAGCTGGTCCTTGACTTTCCTTGACCAGTGGGCAGAGCCCTCCCCTATCCTTCTACCTCACCTGTGTGGCACAGTGCCCCGGCATACAGAAACTCCTCATGGCTTTAAAAGCTTGGCTTAGCCGGGCGATGGTGGCGCACGCCTTTAATCCCAGCACTCGGGAGGCAGAGGCAGGCGGATCTCTGTGAGTTCGAGACCAGCCTGGTCTACAGAGCTAGTTCCAGGACAGGTTCCAAAGCCACAGAGAAACCCTATCTCGAAAAACCAAAAAAAAAAAAAAAAAAAGCTTGGCTTATTTACAAGTTGAGATAGGTCTTACTGTCTAGCCCAAGCTAGCCTCCAGCTCCCCGTGTACCTCTGAGATTGATTACTTATAGGATAGAGGGAAGGATGCCTAAGTGATCGGAAGCCTAGTCCTCCCGTTAAGATGAGGGCAGAAAAGGCCTGGAGAGATGACTCAGCAGTTAACAACACTGGCTGCTCTTCCAAGGGACCCAGTTTCAATTCCCAGTACCTACATGGTGGCTCACAACAGTCTGTAACTCAAGTTCCAGAGGATCAGACACCCTTCTCTGGCCTCCACAGCACCAGGCATGCATATGGTGTACAGACATGCATGCGGGCAAAACATCCATATACATAAAATAAAACCTATTTATTGTGTGTGTGTGTGTGTGTGTGTGTGTGTGTGTGTATCAGAGAAAAGCTTTGCAGAGGTTGTTTTCCTGTTTCTCCCCTTCCATGTGCTCCCTGGGAATGAATTCGGGCATCACCAGGCTTAGTTGCAAACACCATTACCCAGTGAGCCATTTCTAGGTCCTCGTGTGTGTCTTCCTCAGGGATGGGGAGGAGCCATTCTACATAGTAACCCTGCAGCAGGTGTGGATACAAAGTCATCTGTAACAGACTGGTGCGTAAGCCCCGCCCACCAGTATCTTGTGGGCGGTGTCTAAGGAGCATCTATCTTGGTGCTCTGGGACCAAACCTCCCCCGGGCCACCCCACCCACACGTTGCCTGCCCCCGGTACTTCGCCTCTATCCCGGTTTGAGGTGGGAAGACCAAAGAGAGGGCCTCGGGATACGCCAGAAAGCCCCCTCAAGGGAAGCCTGAGGCTGTGGCTGGTGGCAGTGGCCACGCCGGCCGGGAGGGGGAGCCGACAGCAGCGAGTTTAGGGCGGAGCGGGCGCGCCTCCGAGAGACGCGCCTCCCAGCTTAGGTGCAGGCCCCGCGCGCGGCACAGCGGGGAGGCGATTCCGGCGGCGGCCGTGTGGTGAGTGCTAGCCGGCCAGTTTCTGTGGCGCCCACCCAGATCTGGCTGGGTTGCGGGGAGGAAAAGGGTGGCATTGGTGGCTGGGAAAGGTGGCATCTGTTCAGACACCGCGTCTCCGGCAGAGCCTGGACCAACGGTAACCTCGACCGGCTGTCTCGGGTGTGGAAGGCCGTGCTCGGTCTCGGCGTTGCCGGGCGCGCTCCCCGCGCACACGTGTCGCAGCAGTGTGGAAACCCCAGAGCTGGACCTGGGTTGTCTTTTGGTTTTTTAGTCTTTTTTTTTTCTGGGGGTGGGGGCACCGCACACGTGGGAACCCGCGGGATGTGCGTGGGCACGTACATAGTTAGAATCCGCGTCGTCCGGATGGAGATATCGAGGCCAGCTCAGCCCCGACCGTGGGGTAAAGGATATGATCTGCCCTGGAGCAGAGGATGTACCCCCATCCTTGGTTTTTCTTTGTAGGATAGCTGGGGTATCTCGCAGTAGAGGACCTCTTTATGACCCTTCTAGCTTGCATGGCGAAGCTAACCTCCCTAAGAGGAAGGGCTGAGGGGGCAGGATTGGGAGGAGGGGCACGCTGGTGGCCGGGCTCAGCCCTAGCCCAGTCACTTTTCTTTTTCTTTTCTTTCTTTCTATTCCCCCTCCCCGCCCCCAGTTGGGATCTCTATGTGGCTTTGACTGTCCTGGAACTCTCTGTAGACCAGGCTGGCTTTGAACTCACAGAGATCAGCCTGCCTCTGCCTCGCGAGTGCTGGGTTTAAAAGTGAGCGCCACCACTGCCTGGCTGCTTTTCTTTTAGGCAAGAAATGGGTAGCTTCATTCATGGAAATGCAGAAGAAGCTGTTAGCCTCTGTGTGCTGAACTGATCTTTCTCAGTTGGCCTGACTGGGGAAGGCTGGGACAGCTATGCAGAAAGCTCTGGATTCTCAGTGGCTAGACTGGGCAATCAGGTTTCTATGGTAACATAGAGGGTGCTGAGGGAGCCCTGACAGCTGTCTCAAACTAATGAGAGTCAACAATAAAAAGCCCTTTAATCCCAGCACCCAAGGTAGAGGCAGCACCCAGTTCGAGGCCAACCTGGTCTACAGAGGGAGTTTCAGGACAGCCAGGGCTACACAGAAAAATTTTGTCTCAAAAGACAAAAATCCTGGGGCTGGGTGAGAGAGACAACAGCCCAGAGGGTTCCCCTTGTCTGCTGTTCCAGGAACCCTTCACCCTCTGCTCAGCAACTGTTCTCCCTGGTGTTAACCTGTTTTGTTTAGTTCTGGTTCTGGTGCAGGGCTGACCCAGTCCATGGGATCTCAGTGCCTGCCTGACTCTTCCCTACTGGCTTCAAATAGTCTGATTTCCAGGACACACACACACATCAGCCAGGTGCCCAGATCCCAGCTGTGAGGGGAGATAGCAGCTGAGGGACAGCAGGCTCACCATTCTCGAGGGCAGAGGCATAGGGAAGGATGGACTTCCTCTGGAGAAGGGGCAGCAGGGAGAGCTGCTGTGATAATCAGACCGCAGTTCAGAGTTCAGTCCTTCGGCACATACCAGGCTTAGGAGGGACAGGTACTCCTCCACTGAGGCCCCTGGTGTGCAGAGCTGGGGCAGAGGGCAGAGGGCGCCTGGGGCAGAGGGCAAAGGGCGCCTGGAGTGCCGCCCCCGTGTCCTCTGGACCTGCCAGGTGAGCAGGGCCTGTGCTTGTCAGTGGCCTTTGAAAGTTAAGCCTCCTTTCCTTGACCTTCCCAGAGAACAGGTATACCTTCTCGTGCCCCAACCTAAGGTTCCCTGATGGGTACACCAGCACAGTGGGTGTTGACCCGCTTCTCAAGGGCACGTGTTGACAGATCCGAACAGGGTGTCTCATTCACTGGGGTTCCAGGGCTATAGACAGCTGTGCTCATCCCATAGGCTGCTGACAGAAACCTGAGTGGCCTGCAAACGTGGTGGCCTGGGCCTGGGGTCCTTGTGGGTAGGCTCTTATGATTAGTGTGCCCCTTCTTAACTCTCTCTTAGGCTAGGCCCAGCCCCAGACCCCCAGAAGTTGTCTTACTCCTGTCTTTTCCCAAAGCTGCGGAGATTATCACCTAGCCCAAAGTGAAAGAGAAAGTCCCCCCCCCAGGTCCGCCCCGCCCCGCCCCACGGCCAATCCCCGTAGCCCTTCGCCTCCTCCCTCCCCAGCCGGCCTCTTTATCTCTTCAGCGAGCACGCTAGCTCTACAGCCGAGGAGCAGCAGTTGTGCGCACTCTGGGGTGCGCTCAGGGTGAGCAGAACCCGGCGGCTTGTATGGGGAGAGGTGGGCAACGTGTCCAGGGGCTCTTTAGTGTGAGACAGCCATGTGAGCCCTCGTGGCAGCACTGAGGGTACTGGCCTGTGTGTGACAGGCGACCTCTGAGGGCTCAGGGAGATACACAGGGGAGGACTCAGGACTCCTGAAACCCACCCCAGCTCAGCTTTGATGATTGTGTCCCTCAGGGGATAAAGATGCTGGCTCCCGGATCCCCATCCTTGCAGCTGATAGGAGAGGCCTTTCTCCCACCCTAAGGGAATGGGGTGTACCAATCACGGATGCCTTGGGAGACAGACATCCCTCTACTTCCCTCCTCATACCATTTATTTCTGTCCTGTCTTCCCCGTGTCCTTATCCCTAGATTCCTGCGTCTGTCGGGAGTGAAACACTTCCCTTGGGAAGTGGGCAGGAAGGTGGGCAATCAGCTCCGGGTGGGTGGGAATCGTGCTTTTCTGTGGGAAGGGGCTCTGTGGCCCAGGGTGAGCTGCTATGGAACTGAGTCTGCTCTGCCCAGGAGGAACCACCACTGCCCCATCCCGCTGACAGTGGCAGATGCTAGCTGCCTCTGCTCAAGGTTGGGAGCTGGCTGCTGCAGCTCAAGTCCAGGGTCCCAAGTACCACTGCACTAAAAGGCACCTGGCCCTTTAAAAGCTGGAGCTTGCTTTCTGTGCGTGAGCTTGAGCGCCTGAGCGTGAGTCCCTGGCTGCCTGGGAGGACGCCACGGGGAGGGCATTGAAGGAAAGCCAGGTGGCCCCAGGGATGGGTGGCCTCCCTTTCTTCCTTCCTGCATCTCCCCCCTTTATCCCCAGGGCGCCTTAATGACTGCAGCCTGCAGCACGGGGTCTGGGGAGTGAGGGGCTTCGTGCCCTTGTGAGATGGTCGGTGGGTGGGGAGGCGACTTTCTCTGATAGGCCACCATCTGTCACTCATTCTGTCCCTTCTTTCTTTCAGGTGGCAGAAGTCTTGAAATTGGTCTGAAGGTGAGGACATCCCCTCCCCCACCATCAGCCACCACCGCCAGCCACCCTCATTGTCCTCGGCAGCCCCTCCCCACCAGTGCCTCCACTTAACACACCGCCTGGTCTGAGTCAGCCTCCTGCTTCACTTGGTGTAAATGGCTGATAAGCAGATCAGGTCAGAGGGACCCCCCAACCCCTGGGCTTCGGTCTTGGCTTTCACCCCCTCCCCAGCATGACCTCCCCATCCCCCCATCCTGTAGTTGAGTATGGTAGTCCTGACACTTGACCCTGCATACACAGCCTGCCGGCCAAGCTCATCAATGGTGGCATCGCTGGGCTGATCGGGGTCACCTGCGTGTTCCCCATCGACCTGGCTAAGACACGGCTGCAGAACCAGCAGAATGGCCAGCGCATGTATGCCAGCATGTGAGTGAGAAGAGCGTAGGAGGGACGAGGGCACAGCTTCCACCTCTGATCTCTGCTTCCACACCCCTGGGTTTGATGGAGGGGTAACAGGGTAGGGTGCGCCTGAGGGAGAGCCTAGCCCTGGCAGGCAGAGGATTTGGCTTCTCTGTGGGCCCTTGATGATCATACTGGGCAGAGAAGGCATTGGCTGCCCTTGCCTGACTCAGGGCCAGGGTCCAGCTGGCCACAGCTTATTGGCATCCTCTTGGCTACAGGTCTGACTGCCTCATCAAGACAATCCGCTCCGAGGGCTACTTCGGCATGTACAGGGGTGAGGCTTGGCAGGGGCGACAGGCGGGTCTGACTGGGAGGAGGGTCAGAGGTGCATGCCTGGGCTTGGTCTGTAAGTATGGACACACGTTATGTGTTGCTGGTAGCATCTGGGCACGATGGGGACCTCTGCCAACCCTTAGTGCTGGGGGAATTGGATGTCTGAGGGGATTTCTTCTGCAGGGTGGGGGGTCTCCACCCTCATGTGAACACTCTCTTATCCATCCCCTACTCTAAGAGCAGGACAGGGTGTGTTTCTTTTTCTCTCTCTCAGTGGCTCAGATCTCCTCCACTACTTTAGGTGATGAGCAGGACCACAAAGAGAGTAGGGCAGGGGGCTTATGCAAAGCAGCTTAGAAAACAATCCCGGAGGGTGGATTTGCCCAGATGCTGAGCCCTCGGCTCTGGGCCATTCACAGCCATCCCTGAGCCTAAACCCACACTTTGCTCCCGCCAGTGGGAACACCTGTACCCAGGAAGGAGGCCCACTGCAGTCTCTGGGGGCCTGCTCCTCACTGCCTTTAAGGAGAGGTCTGTTCTGCCAAAATCAGAGACAGATGGAGGTGGAATTCTGGGGAGGGCAAAAAGAGGGGAGGGAGGACACAGCGCCACCCCATCCTGCCTGGTTCCCGCCTGCCTGGCACAAAACAAGCCCATATGTGGGTGAGAGGGCAGGAGGCTGCAGCCAAGGAGTGCCAGGCAGGCTTTGCCAGTGTGGAACAAAGTGTTATCCCAAAGCCTTCCTAACCCAAGCTACCCAGCAAGTCTATCCTCACCTGACAATCTGCCCCACAGGAGCAGCAGTTAACCTGACCCTGGTCACCCCCCACAGGAGCAGCAGTTAACCTGACCCTGGTCACCCCCGAGAAGGCCATCAAGCTGGCGGCTAACGACTTCTTCAGACATCAGCTCTCTAAGGATGGGTGAGAGGCTCGGCCACCCTGGTGCTGGGGCCCAGGTCCTAAGGAAGGGTGTGTTGCTCATCCCACCCCTGCCCCAGCAGTCCTCTAAAAAGCTGGTATCAGACCCCCAGAGGCTCTTCCATCTCAGTCCCTTTGCTCAACATCCCTGACCTTGTGAGGGCGGGCACTTCCTGCTGCCCACGTGAGGAGGTACAAAGCAGCTGCTGAGTCAGTGGCTGTTGGCCCCCAGCCACTGTCTGCTGCTAGAATTTGGGGGCACTAAGCAGCCATCCCATCACTAGGGTATGGGGCTACAAGGTTGGCCCCTTCTGCCCCCCATTTCTCTTTATGAGCCCTTGCATATGAGATTATCTGCCCTCCGGGCTGGATGCCTATTGCTGAAGGGTCTAAAGCCCAGGCTGTGCTCCTATGGGACCTCCACAGCTCCCATCCCCCTTTACACCTCTGAAGCAGACAGTCACTGCCCCACATAGGGAGCTGTTTCTCACCACCTCACTCACAGCCCTGCCCCTGCCCTACAGACAGAAGCTGACTCTGCCTAAGGAGATGTTGGCAGGCTGCGGAGCTGGCACCTGCCAGGTGATTGTGACCACCCCCATGGAGATGCTGAAGATCCAGTTGCAAGATGCAGGCCGCATTGGTAAGGTGCAGGGAGGGGACAGAACCCGGGTGGGGACAACGGTTAGACCCTGTCCCCTGCCCCTTCCCCAAGCCAGGAGGAAGAGACCAGAGATCCTTTCTCACCAGCTGCTCAGAGGAAGATTCTGGCTGCTCAGGCTCAGCTCTCCGCCCAGGGAGGTACCCAGCCCTCTGTAGAGGCTCCAGCTGCTCCTCGACCCACTGCCACCCAGCTGACCCGTGACCTGCTGCGGAACCACGGCATTGCTGGCCTCTACAAGGGACTGGGGGCCACACTGCTCAGGTGGAAAGATGGGCATATGGGAGAAAGGGGGCTGCGGGCTGGTCCCTACCACCAGCATCACCGCCTCCCTCCTTCCCCACAGGGATGTCCCCTTCTCCATTGTCTACTTCCCCCTGTTTGCCAACCTGAACCAGCTGGGCCGCCCATCTTCTGAGGAGAAGTCACCTTTCTATGTGTCCTTCCTGGCAGGCTGTGTGGCTGGGAGTGCAGCCGCCGTGGCTGTCAACCCCTGTGATGGTCAGTCTTGGATCTGGGCCCCAGTTGGGCAGTGGAGGGGGTGGTGGCGGGGGGAGAGGCTAGGTTCCCCTAATGACTCATATGTTCCTTGTAGTGGTGAAGACTCGACTTCAGTCACTTGAGAGAGGCGTCAATGAGGACACTTATTCGGGGTTTCTGGACTGTGCCAGGTGCGCCACGTCCTGTGAGCTGGGGCAGGGCCGGGCTGGGCTGGGCTGGGCTGGGCATCAGTTCTGACCTTCTCCTTTACAGGAAGATCTGGAGACATGAGGGCCCCTCAGCCTTCCTGAAAGGTGCCTATTGCCGGGCACTGGTCATCGCCCCGCTGTTTGGCATCGCCCAGGTGGTCTACTTTCTGGGCATTGCTGAGTCCCTGCTGGGGCTGCTGCAAGAACCCCAGGCCTGAGCCCGTGGCTGCATCTCCCTAGCCTATGGGCTGGGGCCAGAACAGGGTGACCAGCACAAGCCTGAGGAGGACTGGTCTCTCCCCAGTCCTCCCCGTCAAACAAGAAGGCAGGGGGAGGGTGCAGGGTCCACATGGGTGGTGCACACATAGGCCCCCATGGGGTCCTGAGGGACAAAAAATTGGGATCAAGGTTTTATTTATGTAGAAAATGCAGAAATCTGTACATTCCTTAAGCCAGTCCCGTTGAGCCAGTCCTGTCCCATCCCTGCACCCTAACCCAGTCTTACCTGGCCTGAATACCCCCTAAGACAGAGCTGGTCTCTGGGCTGGGGCCCCCAGGCCTGGTCTGGGCAGGCAGATCCTACCCTGTAGTCCACTGGCTCCGGTCTCCGAGGCTCTCCTGGTCTACGAAGGGGACCCCACACACACACACACACACACAAAGTTATTTATTGAATTTGCTGTGCCCACGTGGCTCTGCCTGTCCTCCGTCCATCAGTCTGTTTGCCCTGCTGCTCTTTCTGCCTCAACCAGGACCCCACTCTGCCTCCCCACAGCCTTACAGGAGTAAGTTCTATCCTCGTGTTAAGCTAGGATTCCCTGGCTGGGTATGCTGCCGCATTCAATCCTGGTGAGCCTTTGGGCCCCCCACCCCATGTGGGACCTGGATTGCTTGAGGTCTCTGTGTGCCTGTGATGGGGCAGGTTGCCCCCCACCCCCTAGCAGTCGGCTGGCCAGGCTGCACGGGGATGTGCCCTCAAGGGCACAGTTGCCTTTCCCGATGGAGTCAGGCGCCCCGTGCTGTGTGCTGTGTGTGCCTCAGGTCTTCTGCTGACCCGTCCAGTAGTTTAGTTCTCCAGCCTGGAAACTTGTGGGAGAGCCCTACTCCTGGACAGAGATTGCTTGTGGGGGAAGGGGAGCACGAAGGCCAGTGTGAAGCCTGGGCCATGCAGCTCTCTGGGCCTCTGTCCATATTTGAGAAGCCACACCCTTCCAGCCCTGGATCCTCTGTTCTGAATCAAAGCAGTCCTCATCCCCTGCCCTGGCCATGTGATTGTGTTTGGTGATTGACTGAAGTGCTGGTGCTGTGTCCCTCAAGCCCAACCCCCTCCGTGGAGGCCCCTTCCCAGTGACACTACCAGGGGCCCCAGTCCGGGCCGTCCCCCCTTCACGGTTGCTCCTGGGAGCCTCCCCTCCTATCATGTCTGTACCTTGAAAGCTGCTGCTGCTGCTTACAGAATTATATTTTTTTCTTTTGAAGAGTTTAAGAAGTTGTAATTTTTGTGTCTTGTCATGTAAAAGATAAATAAATATTCTAAATAAATGCTTGCCTTCAGAGTCCTTGCGTGGGTGGGACTGTGAGCGCATGGGTGGCTAGCCAGTTAGCCGGGCTCTCTCCTCTGCAGACCCGCATTGCCCACGCCTCCACCCTTGTAGATCCACCACCCTTGCAGTTCCAACCGCCTCCTTCCTACCGCACAGTCTAGATAGGGTGCAGGTAGACAACCTTGCCCAGTCTTCCGGTTCAATTTCCTTAGATGTGAGAAATGGAGCTAGGCATAGGGACACCCTACCACCCCGCCCCAGGGTTCCCAGGGTGGAGCGGGCAGGCGTGGCCCCGCTGACGCAGCCGCTGTCACTGCTATCCGCCCCTCCCCTTGCCACTGGTCCTTGGGTCCTGCGCTCAGAGTGGTGCATTGTGGGAAACTCCTGAGCACTCCTTGGTTTCTGCAGCCGCCGCCCGCTGTCGTCCCGCGAAGCGAGTGCGCAGTGAGTGCGCAGCGAGAAGCTGGAGGCCCGAAGGAAGACGTAAGGCGACAGGCCCTTCCAAGAGCGGGCCGGGACGGGGAAGTAGGGTGGGACTGGGGGTGCTGGATCTAGTGGCCAAGCAGTAGAGCTTTGGCCCTGAAGGTCACTGGGGTTGTGGCGTGAGCACCTTGGTCTCCCTGGCTCAGCAGCGCTGGGGAGGCAGAGGAAGCAATTGGAAGAAAGGGATGTAAGTGCAAGTCAAAGATAACCAGGGGCAGATCTGCTCTGTGCCAACTTGATGCCCAAAGGCTAAGGTCTCTCCAGAACTGTGGCATGGAGGAGACGCCAGGGTTTCTTGGGAGGTGGGCAGCATCTGGGTTTCTACACTGGTCATCTCCGCATGCTGTGACCTTCAAATGACCTTCGGTGTGTTCATTTTGCCTGGTGGGGAGGGGGGCTTGGAGCTTGAGATCTGGCTTCTCGCAGTGACTCCCCCTCCCTGTACATGGGTCAATTGTCCTCCCAGGATGGAGGGAGACAGGTGGTCCTGAGTCTTTCAGACAGGAGCCCCTATGGAACAGGGTAGCCAGGCCCCAGTCTCCCCAGCTAGGACACAGAGAATCAAGGTGAGGGAACCATACTCTGTGTCACCCCCACTCTGTGCTGCTGCCAGGGACCCTCTGCGCTACCGTAGCAAAGCAAGGAATGCTTGCCCTTGAGCTGGATGAGGCAGAGGCCTGTGCTGAGGAAAGGGCATCAGATCTAAGCTGGGTGGGGCGGATGGCTGGCCAGAAGCATAGGCTAGCAGATTCCCAAATGGTTTTTCTACCTCTATTTGATCCCTTTCTTGTTCTGATAGTCCTGGTGACCTGGATCCACTCTCCCCCCGACAGAATCTGAGAACCCAGATTCTCGGCTCCTTCCCTGGCCTTCCCTTCCTCTCAGACTCTGGTCAGGCTGAGACCAAGGCCCCAGAGCATCCCGTTCTGTGAAACACAAGCTCCCGAGATAGCACGCAGCACTCAGCTCTGCCGGAGCTCACCATGACGCCTTCCTGCCTCCCCTGAGCAAATACTCTCTCTTCCAGTTTCCAGGCTTAGATCCATGTCTGCAACAGTGTGGGGTAGACTGTGTATATGAAACAAAGCTAGGTTATAGGTGAGGAAATTGAGGCCTCTGGTTCTTCCCCCCTCCCAAATTTTCAGCAGTTGTAGGGACTTCTCCAAGAATGCTCAGAAGCAAACAGAGGCGAGGCCTAGGAAGAGGAAGGACTGGGTTTCCTGGATACTCCTTGGTTGGAGCCCCTGGAGAGTCCAGGGAATTGAGAAGGGTATCTCCAAGGGGCAGGGGCAGAGGCAGGGCCAGGAGAGCTATACAGAAGGTGCCTCGTCCCTGTTACCACCTTGTTGTGTCTCCCTCCAGACCCATATAATGCCCAGAGGTGAGCTGTCCTGAGACATTGTGATCCAGCCGCCTGCCAGTCCCGCAAGCCCCAAGCCAGCTGCCAGCACAAATCATCATGGAATCCCGAGGAAAGTCAGCCAGCAGCCCCAAGCCAGACACCAAGATGCCTCAGGCCACAGCTGAGGCCAAGGCCACTCCAGCTGCTGATGGGAAAGCCCCCTCGACCAAGCCTGTGAAGAAGGACACCCAAACAGAGAAGCAGGAGCAACCAGCAGCCCCTGGGCCAGCAACTACCAAGAAGACACCGGCCAAGGCAGACCCTGTTCTTCTCAACAATCACAGCAACCTGAAGCCAACCCCCACAGTGCCTGCAGCCCCCAGTAGTCCTGACGCAACCTCAGAGCCGAAGGGTCCTGGGGATGGGGCAGAGGAGGATGAGTCCAACACTGGAGCCCGAGGTCCCTGGCCTTGTGAGAACTTGACCCCTTTGTTAGTGGCTGGGGGTGTGGCCGTGGCCACGATGGCCCTAATTCTTGGTGTAGTCTTCCTAGCCCGGAAAAAATGATGCCTGGTGTCCAGGTGGAGGCACAGAGCCACTTTCTGTACAGACCTGAATATATAGTGCATGCAAGGTCCTAGATACTTATCTATACACACACAAAAAAAAAAAACCACACACACGTATATGTATGCTACATACATCCACGCAGCAGGAGAGAGACCGACAGTGAACCCACCTCCACTGACCCCAGCACACTCTCTCCCAAGTCCTGGGGCAAGAGCCCAGCTCTGCAGTTTGCAGGAAGTACTAGCATGGGGCAGGAGGGATAGCCTGGACTAGGAACAGTCGCTGGGTAGGGCCCTGAAAGAGAAGTGGTGGAGGAGACTGGCCCTGTGGGGACATTAAGGGCACGGCTGTGTTTTACTCTCCCCACTTCTATTTTGTGCGTCTGGGGGCTGTCTGTCTGGGCCTGATGCAGGGGAACCGACCTGCGGTGGGAATTCAAATCTGCAGAGCTACCTCCACCCACTGTCCCTGTCCTGGCTGAGTGAAAACGCCAAGCTTAACAGCTAAATTTGGGGTGGGATCCCCCTTCCCTTTTTCAGTACGTGCCCCAGGAGAGCTCCTGAGGCTAGGACCACCTTACTCCATGCCCAGAGCAGCAATTGGTTTTTTTTTTTGGGGGGGGGGGGTTGAAAGTCTGGCGTGGAGGTAGGAAATATGGAGGATCTACATTACAGTTGTGCCAGCCCAATACCCCCCAAAAGACTACCCTGCCTGCCTGCACCCAACACCCCCTTGAGTCTCACAGCGTATAAATGCAATAACACAGATAGAGTAGAACTGCCCAGTGGGTGACAATCACCCACTGCCTGCAGGAAGACCTGCTGTGCAGCCCTTCATAGTGCGTCTGGCCCCAGCTTGCCCCTGGGTGTGGTGACAGTGGGCAGGTTTCCAGAAGGCTACAGTGGGCTCTAAGGAAACATTGCCCTCACCTGGCCAGTGGCTGTAGGGACCTTGGGCCTGAGTGGAGGCTGAGTGTGAAATAAACTGTTACAATATAAAGGCTGGGCTGGTGTCCTCACCTGCATGGGGCTGGGAGGGACAGACTTTCCTACCTGAGTTTGTGTGAGTCACAGATTCATCCTATGGGCTTTCCAGGAAGTCCTAGGTCCTCCTTCATGCCCTGAGTCTTCTGGACTATGTGCACCCACAGATCCATCCCCTTTCCCAGGTCTTTGTGGGAGCCTGAACCCAGATGGACATCCAGGAACTTCACAATGGCAACCCCCCCCTCAACCTGGGCTGCTGCCCACAGTGTGGAATCGTTCCTCAGTTAGAAACTGCCTGCCAGGCTGGGCGATGGTGGCGCATGCCTTTAATCCCAGCACTCGGGAGGCAGAGGCAGGCGGATCTCTGGGAGTTCGAGACCAGCCTAGTCTACAGAGCTAGTTCCATGACAGGCTCCAAAGCCACAGAGAAACCCTGTCTTGAAAAACAAAAAAAAAAAAAAAAAAAAAAAAAAGAAAAAGAAAAAGAAACTGCCTGCCAGGCGGGAAGTGGTGGCACACACCTTTAATCCCAGCACTTAGGAGGCTGAGGCAGGTGAATCTCTGAGTTAGATGCCAGCCTGGTCTACAGAGCGAGTTCTAGGACAGATAAGGCTACAAAGAGAAACTCTGTCTTGGAAAACTAAAAGGAAAAAACCCTGCCTGCCGGCAAGGAGGGCTCCCTCCATCCATGAAATGCAGAGCGGAGGCAGGGTTCCTCCTCTGGTCACTTCTCTCCCACAGCTCTCAGTCCATTCTGACCTGAGTTCAGCACATGGGAACTGTTCATGGCTCCAGCTGTGAGGCTGTAGGGTAGCGGGCTGCAAAGAGCAAGGTTCATTTTGGAATACATCACCCTGGTTCCTCCCCCCTCCATGCTAGGGGCTACTGAGGCTGGCATGCAGGAACTTGCTGGCCACCCCTCCCTCCCGGAGGCTTTCTTTGAGCTGGTGTTTTTTCTTTCCAATTTCTTGGTGCCCACCCTCCTCAGTAGTAGCTCTGCCTACATAACACATTCCATTCAACTCTGGACAACTCGGACAGGGTGAGGACATCACAAGCAGACCACTTGTCCTTGCTCAGACCACTCTTTCTGGTTTCTCTTTGACCACTGTCACTATAAAGTGCCTCTTTCAAGTCCAGGCCGACACCTTCCTGAGCCAGGGCTTCCTGGGGACAGGCTGCTGCAGACATGCTGAACACATGGGCACCTCCAACTCCTCTGCACTGCAGGGGCTAAGGCTGCACTGCCTGCCTAGACATTCACTGCCTCATCCAGTGTTCACATCTGTCCATCCTTTGCCTTGCACCCATAAGCACACGGCACTTCCAGGCATTGTATTGCACCGGGAGGCTGCAGCAGTGACCATGCATTTCCGCTGTGGCGAACCACTGCAAGCCGGCTCTTCTACGTGGCATTCTCATGCTCTCGCTCCTTTATGGTTCTCTATTAAAACGCCTTGAGGTTGTTTTTAAAATGCTAGTGCCTGGGGCTGGAGAGATGGCTCAGTCGTAAAGAGCATTAACTGCTCTTCCAGGGCACCTGGAGTTGATTCCCAGCAGCTGTGTGATGGCTAACAATCATTTGTAACAGGTTCTGATGGCCTCTTCTGACCTCCACAGGCCATAGGCACACACGATACATAGACGTGAATACAGGCAGAACACCCACACATGTAAAAATTAATTAAAATATTGGGGGCTGGAGAGATGGCTCAGTAGGTGAGAGTACTGACTGCTCTTCCAGAGGACCTGGGTTTGATTCTCAGTACCTGTATGGTAGCTTACAACCTGTAACTGCAGCCCCAGGGAACTGAGCATACATACATAGGGCATATACACATGCAGGCAAAATGCCAATGTGCATAAAATAAAAAATTAAATCTCAGTAAAAGAAAATACTGGCACCTTAGACAAGGCAGAAATGAAAATCCCTAGTTTGGACCTGGAACGGTCTTTACAAGCACTGTTAGAGTGCAGGCATGGCTGTCAGCTGGTGTGCTACTGGAAGGCCGTGGGACTTCTTGTCACCAAGGGGGAGTTTATCTGTTGTTATTTGCCTGTTGTTAATTTTTAGGCCAAGTATGGCTGCAAAGACCTTTAATCCTAGCACTTGGGAAATAGAGGAAGGTTGATCTTTGTAAGTTCAACACCAGCCTGGTCTACAGAATGAATTCCAGGGCTACACAGAGACCCTTCCTTAAAACAAACAAACAAACAAAAAATCAATTGAATGTTTGCCTGCAAGTATGTATATGCACTGGACATATATATGGTGCCTGTGGAGGGCAAGAGAGCATCAGATGCCCTGCACTCCAGCTACAAACGGTTGTGAGTGACCATGTGTGTATGCTGGCTAAGTCCTCTGCAGGAGAAGCAAGTGCTTTTAACCGCTGAACCATCTCCCCAGCCTGTGTGCCTGGTTTTTATATACAGGATCTCAATATGTAACCCAGGATGACCTCAAATCTATACCTCCTGCCTCAGCACTGAAATTACAGGCTTGCAACACCATGCCTGGCTAAAACCAGTCTTACAAATGGGAGGCGGGGACCAGAGGTCAACTTGGGTATCAAACCTTAGGCACTGTTTATCCACCTTGTTTTTCAATTAAATTTTCTTAAAATTTCTATTTATTTATTCATTCATTCATTCATTTTGGTTTTTCAAGACAGGGTTTCTCTGTGTAGCAGCATTGACTGACCTGGAACTTGCTCTGTGGACCAGACTTGCCTTGAGCTCACAGAGATCCGCCTATCTCTGTCTCCAGGGCACTGGGATTAAAGGCATGTGCCACCACTGCCTGGCTTATTTGTTTGTTCGTTTGTTTGTTTGAAGTGGTTTCTGGGGATCCAATTCAGGAATTTCCCGATCCAACTGAGATCCTTCCCCCTTCCTTTCTTATTCATTTTGCATTCTAAGCCTTCAATGCTGCTGTTTATTTTTTTTAAATATTTATTTTTTTATTATGTATACAATATTCTGTCTGTATGCCTGCAGGCCAGAAGAGGGCACCAGACCTCATTACAGATGGTTGTGAGCCACCATGTGGTTGCTGGGAATTGAACTCAGGACCTCTGGCAGAGCAGACAATGCTCTTAACCTCTGAGCCATCTCTCCAGCCCCAATGCTGCTGTTTATTGCAAATGGTTTCTCAGTTGGTGCATAAAGGTTTACCAACCGTCGTCACGTCACACTATCCCTTTACCTTCTGGAATCTTCTGGAGACTCTGCCCTGTTATCTAGCCCAACAATCTCAGCATATACTCACTTAATCCACTTGGGCAGGTGCCTAGACTCCCTGTGGGTGATCAGCCAGGGCTCTCAAGGTGTTTCTGTTTCATCAGAGCCAAGATGGCACCAGCCTCAGAGAGCAGACAGGCCCCTGCTACCCACATGTGACCCCATCTCCTTTGTACAGCCTGTGTAAGCTTGCAGTTGCCACCTGTGACTACAGCTCTGGGGGTTCTCTTCACTTCCAGAGGGACGTTAGAACCAGGGAGCAAGATAAGCACAGAGGCACGTGGATGTAAATTCAGCCTTCGGGAGGCAGGGTCAGAGGGTGGAGAGCTTCAGATAGCCTGAACTACAACAGGAGAGCATTTTACAACAATAACAAAAACAAAAACAGCCAAAGCTTGACCTGCTGGCACAAGCTCCAGGAAGGCCAAGTTAGAAGGGTAATAAATGCAAGGGAGGCAGGAACTATAAAAGGAAAACTTAGTGAAATTCCTGTGAAAATGAGGGTTGGGCTGGGCTGTGGTGCACACCTTTATTCCCAGCACTGGGAAGTCAGAGGCAGGAGGATTTCTGTGAGTTTGAGGCCAGCTTGGTCTACAGAATGAGTTCAGGGCAGCTAGGGCTACACAGAGAACCCTGACTCAAAAAAATAAAAACAAACAAACAAACAAAGGTGAGGGTTGAGATGTAAACTAGCACTGGAGCACTTGGCTACCATGAGCCAGGCTTGAGATTCAGTTTCTAGCACCGGAAACCACACACCTGACCAGGAGGCAGAGGTCCCAGGGGCCAGGCTCTAATCCTCCGCAGATCCTTCCAGAAGCGGAAGAAAAGGCCCACAACTCTCAGCAGTCCCAGATGATTTAAATTATTTTTTCCCACAACTTTC